TAGGGTCGATTCGCCCTGGATGTAGGATGTACGTAAAATACCATATCTACACGTGTGCCGTGACTGATTGTATGCAATATCTGCGCCGATATCCGACTGGGCGTGAGACTTCAGATTTTCTGGGCAATCGTTGACATCGTGAACTTGACACTGACATCACACTTTTACCGCCGCTGAGTCAACGAACGGCAGGTAAGCATACATCCAGCCCGGAGGCTTGGGATTACACTTGGGGGCACTCGTGGGCTCAAATTATCAAAATGGTCTGATTTCTGCAGAAGGAATCGGCGGGCATTGAGGCATTGCTTTGCTTTTCTCTTTTCTGTGGCGAGACGCACTGGTTGGTCCCGAAACTGAACCGTCGCTTGCGTATCAGGATCCCAGCCGAAACAGCAACGACAACGCTCGGCCGCCCTCTTAGTTGAACATGTGTGTCCAATCAGGAGCGTTCCTGGTCCTTCAATGTGGAGCTGATCTGACCCCAGCCTTGGCACCCGCTCCTGACAAGTCGAGCTACCGCCGTTGGCTTTCTCTCCGACAGCTTGCAACGAAAGAATCTCTCTCAGTCTGTTGCGCGCGAATGGGAGCTGGCGGTTAATGACCCTCGAAAAGAGGTATCTCCGTACCTGCAAAACATCCGAACAATCTTGAGGCAGAGATGGTACTGCGGTCTCGAAAGTGGCGCCATTTTCCACCGTGCCGTACCCTACCTCGACGGGTGATCGGTCTGATCACAGACTGCCGCTGGCCATTCAGCAGTTGTGTACGCTGCGAAGCCCTAGGTCAGCCAGTTTCGGTTTGGTCACACGGCGCAAAGGACGGAGTTATACAGCGTCAGGATGGGTGATCGGGATACACTTGACATGAGGTCTTCAGCAGCTAATGATGTGTCTAGAGAGCAGAACAGAGTCATCTGGGCTGGGCTTATTATTATGGCGTAGACATCCGATACTGACCTCTTCGAGCACAAGGCCAGCGGCGAGGAGGACCCTTGCTGCCGTTTATAACATGGGTGAGCACCCGTTCGGCCCCCCTGCAGTGGTGCCGCAGAGCCCCGCCCCGAAGGACAGCGTTACAATTCTCTCGATGTCGTTTCGACAACGTGGGGAGAGGCCGGCCGCAAGTTCCAGCCTCGTTCGATTTCTTGGATTTCCCTGAGCACCACCGCTACCTGGCCCCTGCTTGGCATGCTGCACCTGCACAAGCCGTTGCCGCTGTCTCCATCTTGTGTGCCATCGTGGTTCTAGGCGCGCCTCCAGCTTCTCCTATCCCTCTCCCACCCCTGACAGGCTCCACGTTCTCTCACGACAAGAGCTCTAGGACGCGATAACCCCCTTGCCGAGTCATTTTGCATTCGTTTCTCTTTCTTACCTACTTCGAGTTCCCTCCTCTTTTCTCCCTCGTCTCCGGCAGAGTGGCCTAGATACCTAGCACACGCAAACTTGGGTCCCAGCAGCCGCCGTACGCAGGCATTTGTGGACAGGTATGATCCTCACACATCAGCTCATGTTTCTGGTGACTTGCTTCGCTTGGCACCTCACATAACCACACTGGCTCCCGCACCTTTGGTGCTGCCGAACCTTCCCCTCTCCCTTCTCCCTCTCTTTTTGCTCGGCGAAGTGCAATCGTTTCGAGGTGTGTGGTTTTGCTAACCATACCGCCTCCCGGCCGTTCCTGGCATATGCAGGCTCCATATCCGCTCATTACTATTCTGTCTCACGGCCGAAGCCTCACATTCACGACTGTCGTTTAATGGGTCTGGTTCGCACGCTTTCAGCAGGTTCTGACGACGAATTATCGACTCTTGGATATTTATAACACGCATCAACATCTTTTAATTGGGAATCGCTAGAGGAAAACGGGGATCGACTGCCCCAGTGGGAGGGTTAGAGAGACGAGGATTTTCGAAAAGGAAAAAGAATCAGGAGGAAAAGCAGGGCTGAATTGCTGGATTTAATCGAGACGACGACGACTATCACCCACCATGTCGGGTTACGGAGGTTACGATGGGGGTTTAAGGAGCAGCGGGTCAATGAAGCAGTCGGAGAGATCAAGATGGACGCCACTTACACGGATGTTGTTGTCGGGCGAAATGACACAGGAAAGGCAAAAGGAACTGACTCCAAGGGAAAAGTTCGACAAGTGGATGGTGAACGAAGGATATCGCCGAATGTAGGTGGTTTGCTTTTGGATTGCGACGATGTGGTGGGTAGGTGAAGGCTGACATATCGCCAGTTTCGTCTTCGTTTTCATGTTCCTCCACGCCATCTTATTCGCCTTCAGTTTCGTCAATTTTGCGGTGAAGGAGAACTTACAAATAGCCCGAGACACATTTGGCCCGACGTTTATGATTGCCAGATCCGCTGCGCTGGTCCTCCACGTCGATGTCGCCTTGATTCTGTTCCCCGTTTGCCGAACGCTCATTTCCATGGCCAGACAAACGCCCCTGAACGGCATTATTCAGTTCGACAAGAACATCACTTTCCATATCACCACCGCTTGGTCGATCGTGTTTTGGTCCTGGGTTCATACGATTGCCCATTGGAACAACTTTGCTCAGGTCGCCGCTAAGAACAACTTGGGCATCTACGGATGGCTTCTCGCCAACTTCGTGTCGGGCCCGGGCTGGACTGGATACGTGATGTTGATCGCGCTCATGGGAATGGTCATCACCTCGGTTGAGAAGACGAGACGCGCCAACTATGAACGATTCTGGTACACTCACCACATGTTTATCGTCTTCTTCTTTTTCTGGTCGATCCACGGTGCTTTCTGCATGATTCAGCCCGACTTTGCACCCTTTTGTATTTCGATCGGCACCCAGGCTATCGGCGTCTTTTGGCAGTACTGGATGTACGGTGGTTTCGCCTACCTGGCCGAGCGTGTTGCCCGTGAGATTCGCGGCAGACACAAGACATATATCTCCAAGGTCATTCAGCACCCGAGCAACGTCTGCGAAATTCAGATCAAGAAGGAGCACACCAAGACCAGGGCTGGACAGTACATCTTTTTCTGCTGCCCGGCTGTTTCTCTCTGGCAGTATCACCCATTCACTCTGACCAGCGCTCCCGAGGAGGACTACATCTCGATCCACATGCGCGTTGTGGGTGACTTCACCAGGGCTGTTGCTGAGACTTTGGGCTGCGAGTTCGACAAGAAGAAGGGGGATGCTTCCAAGGTTGTTGGTGTGGATCAGTCCAACGATGAGGTTGATCCCGCTCTCCGCCGTGTGCTTCCCCGTGTTTACATCGATGGACCCTTTGGCTCAGCTTCGGAGGATGTGTTCAAGTACGAGATTTCGGTTCTCTGCGGTGCCGGTATCGGTGTTACGCCTTTCGCCTCGATTCTCAAGTCGATCTGGTACCGCATGAACTACCCTCAGAAGCGGACACGGCTCAGCAAGGTCTACTTCTTTTGGATTTGCAGAGATTTCGGTTCTTTTGAGTGGTTCCGCTCGCTTCTTCTCGCTATTGAGGCGCAGGATGTGGACAACAGAATCGAGATTCACACGTACCTGACAGCCAAGATCAAGGTTGATGACGCGACGAACATCATGATCAACGACGCCAACGCCGACAAGGACACGATTACTGGTCTCCGGTCACCGACCAACTTTGGTCGCCCCAACTGGGATATGATCTTCAGAGGTATCCGGAAGCTTCACACGCCTGCCGAGGCTGGTGTGTTCTTCTGCGGTCCCAAGGGTTTGGGCAGCCAACTGCACGTCTTTTGCAACAAGTACAGCGAGCCTGGGTAAGTTTCGATGATCCCTAGACGGACAGTTTCATCAGTTGCTGACAACTATGACAGGTTCAACTTTGTTTGGGGCAAGGAGAACTTCTAAACGCCATTGCCACATCTTTGCTTCTTTCCCATGATATCCTCTCCAACCAGCAACGGTGGACAACGTCGCGGAGAAAAGTTAGCCCTGCGACCATGATCTGAGTGCGCGGGACGCAATGCATAGCAGATCCCGGGCTGGAGGATAGCAACGTAGGGGCCAACACCGACGCTGGCCGCGTCCTCAACTCATCCCGCCGACGACCTGTCAGGACACCCGGTCGGGAGTCCTCCCCGCTCCACTGCCCGTACAATTGGAGAAGAGCCCACTTCATACATCCTGTTCGGATGGTGGATTGATTACCCATACGCATACCCATACCCTAGATATCCCACCCTATTATACCTCAGGGGCAGCCAACAGCAGCTCTCTCTCAGCTCGCATTTAGCGCTTTTGTTACATATTCTTCTTGCTATTTATATACACTTGTACCTAGTCTTTACAATATTCCCCATATTCCCATTCAAGCAAATGGTTTTTTTTCTGGCTGTTTAAAAGACAGTTTGATAATTTGAGTTCTGGTAGAGAGTAAAGTGTAAATATTAGACGTGGCTTTGATGGCGGAACCATGCTGAAGCGTGCTTTCCCTGAATTGATACCACAGAGAACACCAGAAAACTCAGCTCATTGGACTTAAACTTGGGTAGTTACAGTTTTCACCTTTAATAAGTTACCATCTACTGAATAATTCAGCGCTCCTTCCTACAGAGCATTCCGTACCTGCCAGTTCCCCCCACCTAACCCAGGCAGCACACTTCCTCCCCGACAGGGGTCTAAAGTGGGGGACCCACTTAAATTCTCGCTCCCAATTCGCGAAGCGCGTCTCACTTTACCTCAAAGAGCTGAACGCGTCAAACTGCGCTCTCGTCCAATCTTCCTTGCTCTGACATCACGAAGCTTCGACCTCCCCTCCTCACTCTCGCAACCCTCGACAAAACCAGCGATTTTCTCACCACAACACAAAACAGCAGAGAGGACAAGAAAAAAGTCGCAACCATGGGAATCAAAAACTTATTCCAGATCATCAAAGACGAGGCGCCCGATGCGGTCAAGGAGGGGGAGATCAAGAACCAGTTTGGGAGGAAGGTTGCGATTGTAAGTTTGTTGTCCACTCTTTTCAAACCCACCTGAGAACGGTATTTTTTAATTCTGGGGCTGAAAAAAAAAAAAAAAACAGGACGCCTCCATGTCAATCTACTCGTTCCTCATCGCCGTCCGCTCCGACGGCCAGCAGCTCATGAACGAAGACGGGCAGACGACGTCTCATCTGATGGGCATGTTCTACCGCACCCTTCGAATGGTGGACAATGGGATTAAGCCGCTTTATGTCTTTGACGGCGCGCCGCCCAAGCTCAAGTCTGGCGAGCTCGCCAAGCGGTTCCAGCGCAAGCAGGAGGCGCACGAGGGGTTGGAGGAGGCCAAGGAGACGGGGACGGCGGAGGAGGTGGAGAAGTTTAGTCGGAGGACGGTGAGGGTGACGAGGGAGCATAATGCCGAGTGTCAGAAGCTGTTGAAGCTGATGGGGATACCGTATATTGTTGCGCCGACCGAGGCGGAGGCGCAGTGTGCGGTGCTGGCCAGGGCGGGGAAGGTGTATGCGGCGGCGAGTGAGGATATGGACACGCTGTGTTTTGACAGTCCGATTTTGCTGAGGCATTTGACGTTTTCGGAGCAGAGGAAGGAGCCGATTCAGGAGATTCATGTGGCGAAGGTGTTGGAGGGGTTGGGGATGG